AAAACATGGTTTTCCCGTGGTTTCAAGGTGGTGCGAATGGATTTCGTCCATCCACAAGAGTAGGCGTCCTTACTGGGTTGGCTTGGTTGGAAATAGATGGGCAAGCCACTGGTGTAGATGGGTTTTATACCATGCATTTACCAGGGCCATTTTTTTCCAACGGGTTACCTATGGTTCGAGCCGACTTCGGGGGTCTCAGATGGTGAAGATAAAAATGGACGAAATGTGAATCGGGAGCTGACTGCGCCTTTCTTCCCACAAGCAGAAGGCAGTTGTGGGGAGGGTACCTGGAAGATCAGTCTCCTCTTAAAGGGACCCCCTAGGCGCGCTATGGCAACGTGGGCGACCCGTGTTTGATTATGAGCTTGGGGGGGGGGGCGGGGCGGGGGGCCTTTGCTTGGGAACCCAGTTGATCGGTGTGCTGTCTTGGCAAGAATCAATCCGTGCCCTAGCTTCCATGTTGCACCCTAGGAAAGGCATTGGTGAATCATACGCTTGAATAAAAGAGAATCGCCCTGTGCATTTTTCCGTTTCAGGCAAAAGCAGTACTTGATACAGGTGTTGGTGTTTGGAGGACCAGTCAGAGATCTCATTTGCTGCCTGCATTCTTGACAATGCACATTGTCGTCTGACCCGGGCTTATTCTCCTTCATGGGAACCCCAGATTCAAGGGGGTCATCAATAGTGGGGTCGTTTCTGCACAAGTTCATATGACTTTCGGCCAGGGACACACCCTGAATACGAGGAGTGTGGGGTCAACACAAGCAGACGAATGCCTCCGGGTTTTCCACACACTTGAGTTTCAATTGAACACTTGAGCTCGCCGAGATCTTTGCCTTATGGTTGGGCAGCTTCCTCTCAAGCAAACATTCAAACTCTTGGAGAGGCTGAGGTGGAACGTTTTGGTTACAAAGGCTCAAGTTGATGGGTCCAAAGAATGATGGAACAGATAAACCATCAGCTTCCGTTTGCTCAAGTTTGTTTTCTTTTAAACAAATCACACACACACACAACATAGACAAACAAAGATAACAGACACAACCCTTGTTGGTCTTGGAGGAAATCTATCACACTACTGGTCATGACATGTTTTTTTCTTTTGCAAGGAATCATACACTGCAAGTATTCGCAAACGGAAGCCACCTGTTTTGTTTTTTTTTTTTACAGAATGAAGACCCAGTCAGACCTGGGTTTCGCACCAAGCTCCTTCCAGAAAAAAAAAAGAAGAAACATTGGCCCCCTGGGCTCGCGAGAGGGGCCCCTCTGACGGGACCTCGGACTAGCCTAAGGCTCGCGCTACGAGAACTCCAACCGCGCAAAAGGGTGGCACTGGGTTCTGCTGGCTTGCCCCGGCATGGTTCTAATCATTTGCCTGGGATCCATCTAATGTTATCCCCGGATGAATAAACCCCTGTTCATTTTGTGTGGGGGTGTCCCCGGCTTTAGTGGGGATTCATTACGTTTGGAGAAGAACACCCCCATATTAATTCAGATGGGTTTAGTAATCCGCGGTCAGCTTCAGTTTTTCGGAAATGGGAAACGGATACTTCTCAGATCCAGAGGTATCGCGTCCGTTGATTTTCAGCCATAGGCGGGATCATTGGTAATCTGATTGGCTCAAGATCGGTGGGGCTGCCTCGAAATCCGATTCGTTTGAACTACTCACTCCCCGAGTTCCTGGACTTTACACTTTTTGGGAAGACCATGTTCGTGCCAAACAAAACGTGTGGGAGAGTGTCCTGGCCAACCCGTTCGGAGGTGAGACTATTGGTAACTCACGCCCCGAGTTTCTAGTCGCTTTCGTCACTTTTGACCAAACCAATGGGAGCCGGGCCAATTGGCTGATCCAATCGTGAAGTGAGGTGTGCCAGGGTGTTCAGGGGTCCCTATATTTCCCTTTTTGGCCGTTTGAAACATCACCTGTTTGGCCCATGAAAGATGAGTATCCCCTGGTGGTAACGTTTTAAGGGAATATAGGGAGCCCTGGTGTTCGGAATCTTGGGCAAGCGTAGGTGTCCTTTTTAGATGAGATGGGTTAGGAACAGCTGCCTTCCACTGGAATAGATGGGTTTTATGCCAAATTTAGCAGGGAAGCCGGGAAAGAGAAGGGGGTGTGCCACCGACTGATTCTTCGCCCCGCGTCACCGGGAGACCCATCGTTTTTTTACCAAAAGGACGCCCATGCCCTTGAACTCAACTAGGTTTGCCCGAGGCCGGAGTTCTGCAAGCTCCGGAAGTGGTCGACGATCGTCTTCCAGTGTTTAAAGGGGCAATATCTTGGTTGTCGTTGGGAAACATTTTACATACTTTTGCTTATCGTGGTTTAGTGGGAAATCCCCACTGAACTGCTAAAATTTAATTTTTTGCTCCCCTTCCAACGCCAACCAAGATATGGGTGCGTCTGTTTTTGGGGGACCCCCGAATTCTGTGGTCTTCCTTTTGGTTTCGAAAAACGCCCAAGCGGATGCCTTCAAAAAACACCCACATAGGGAGCCGTGACCTGGTTCAAAAATCAAACCTTCAACTCAAGTTGAAGCAATCGGGTGGAACCTAGTTTGTTTGTCAGCGGCTGGTGAAAGCTTTTGTTTGGAGAGCGGGAAGCAGCTCTCCGACAGTGGGATGTTGGTTGCTTTGTCTTCCATTTGCCTCGGTTTGTTTATGTATTCTCCCTTGTTGGTTTAATGAGATGGGTTCCAACCAAAAGGAAAGTAGTCCAGAACCCTCCGATAGTCAGCTTTCATGAATTGAAAATAATAATTGCCCTGTTGTCCCTTCACGTTTCACGCGACTGAGCCGTTTGCAGGGCGTTGGACGAACCTATTGGGTGATAGCAAGATGCTTCATGGGGGCCATGTTGAGAGTCCAGTTCAACGCGGGAAGCCATGGGGAGGTTGCCAAGGGAAATCCTCTGGGAATGACTTCAAAGACTAGGCACACCAGTTCGCCTCCATTTTCTGAAGCGAATGCTAAGCGAATATGTTAGTTTGATATGTCCCCTTGGTTTTAAAGGGAATCGATTTTAGTACTGAACCTTTTTTTCCAGGCGGCGAACAAGCAAAAGGACCTTTCTTGACGCGGGTTGTCCAGGTCACATCCACTTTGAGGTGGCTTCTAGCATGTTTCTGGGGCAGGCTGCATGTAGTGCATTTTGAGGTGGCTTCTAGCGTGTATTTTGTTGCATGTAGCGTATAGCAGCTAAAGGCGAAGCCAACCAACTAACAATCAACAGGCCAGCGCGAAATTGGCCGGGGAGCCGGCGGTCACTTTCGACCGCGTTTTGAAAGGGGTATTGGGCGGTCTCTAAGTCCAGCCAACTTAATGCTGACCCTGTATGAATAGAAGGGTTGTCCATTTCTGGGTATAGTCCCAGCCCCCTATTACTAAGCTGGGGTTGATTCATATGGGGTCAACACTAAGGCCAAGTCAAAGTTGAGCGAAACCACCGCCGATCAGAGCCTTTCTTATGTGTGGCTATGGGAGCCGTTTTCCGGGCAATCCAGCCCAGAACAGCTGAACAACACTATATCCTCAATGTAAGTGCCTAGGCAGCTGACAAGGGTTGGTCAGTGAAGGCTTATAAGCGGCTTACCCACATGTGACTATGAGGCTCTTCGGTTCGTTTCTTTGTATTTGGCTTAGTTTCAGCTATAGCTTGGGATTAAATCAGGTTCGCCCGCGGACTTTGAAACAAACAGGTCGGCATTCAAGGCCACCCAGGATCAGTATGGGATCAGTATTCCTGGCCACAAAATGGCCATAGCTAACTTTTCCCATTTTGTGGTGAACTTTTTTTTGTGGCTTCCGCTGATGGTCATCCCCTGGAAATGACCTTTTATCAACCCCCAGTATGATTTGTTCTGGGAGTCTTTAAATAGTCCACCAACAGGAAGCTCACTCTGATTTGGCCTTTCCAAGAGGTGCTTAAAACCAGGAAAAACCTGTTCACTTGCTTGAGTTATTTGTTGTTCCAATCCTCGGTGATTTGCGAATTTGGGGCTTCCCAAGAATTCTCAAAATGGTTCACCGCTGAAGGGAAACACCTCTACTGGGCATACTCATTTTTTCAGCTAAGCCCTGATTGCTGGTTTGCATCGGTGGTTTGGGGATTTGAACCCCTAGCTTTTGCAGAGCCACAATCAAAACCCGGGTAGATGAAGGTTAGCAAGAGGCAGTCCCAGCCGGAAATAGTTGCGGCCGCCTTTTTAATTCTTTTCATGGTTCTGGGTTCACCATTTTTGTACCAGGTTTTGATTGTGACTCAAATGGGAAAGCACCAAACCACCAAACCAATCCGAACCACCAACTGTGAAACCATGTCTTCCCCAGAAGCATACTTCGCCACGTCCAAATGTGCGAGTCGAGAGAAGAGCAGCTGAGGTTGAACCATAGGTGTCCTTTTTGAATGTTTTGGTAGAACATTAGATGGCCTTGGTCTACCTGGTGGTTTAGTCATCCACCAGGGCCATCTATTTCCCTCCAAAAGGACACCTATGGGTTGAGCGCTCCGCCGAGCCTTTGGGGCTGAAGCTTTGCACATAGCCAGGCCATGACCAACCCAAACTGGTTGCAACCCCACGCAGCTTCCGAGCAATTTCCCGTTTTAGTCTTGGAGCCTCAACTGGAAGCCGATCGTTTCAATGGAAAGCAGTAAATTGTAGCCTAAGGGGAAATTCAGCGACCCCTGGGGACCATTCAGAAATGGGATGCGCTTACCCGCAATCCCACATCAATTGGGAATCTTGGCCGTGGCTTCGGTGTTAAGACCTTTGTCAAGTCCGCCCCCTGCCCAACAGATTTGAGCATAGATCGTACCAGGAGCACGTCAGTATTCCAGAAACCTAGCACGTGACAAAGAGAACAGCCACCCGCACCAGCACACCATTGCCTTGAAGCGCAAGAGTCGAAACCCACTCGCCTGGTTGCAAAAGGCGAAAAATGACGTCCACTGGGCCGAAAGAAGAAATTCATACCCCACTCATTTGGTTGCATGGCGAAAAGTGACGTCCACTGGCCAACGAAACTTTGATTCATACCCAGCCGCGGGGAGTTCTTCTTCCCGGCTCCATGGAGGCGTTCGGCGTTCGGCGTCGACGGGCCTCCGAGTCGAGTGGATCCAACCGGGGCGTGTCTCTTTTTTTTTCACCAAGGCCTCGGGGGCTTTCCGGGCGCGTCACGTTTTTTTTTTGTTTTTAACGAAAGCCTCGGGCGCTGTTCTCATCCAAGGATTGCTTCCTTGATTTGCACATGTTTGTCAAGAGGTGAAGCTAAGTGAGCATCTGGTGACGGTTGCCCATGGGAAAAGCAAAAGTGTTTTCAGTTCTTGCACAAAAACCTGGCAAACCAAGTCGCAGGCCGTTTTCGCAGCGTTCTTGTGCTCAGGGTTGGTCCTGGTTTCTTCCATCCCCATGGCTTCGTCACAGGCCCGAAGCCGCATGCTTCAAACGGCTGAGGATCTTGGGCCCCAAGGAGATCAAAAGCAGAGTGTGAAGCCAACTTGGGCTCCTTTGTTTAAAAACCAATCCAATCCAACCCAATCACAGAATCATGCCAAACGCTTTAAACGGACGGGACCAACCAACACAGTTGCGGTTTGCTTCGACTCGTCGAGGTGATACTTTGCCCCTGCCCCTTCTTGCTTGCGCCGCCTCGTTTTATCTTCTTTTTGTTGAAGGGAGGGGGAGGGGAGGGAGGGGAGAGCGGACATGGGGGCCCAGGGCTTGTTCACAGCTCAAAGGATGACCTTTGGGGGCTCAGAGGACCCGAAGCCTAGGTTGGACCCCGGATGAATCGACCCCAGGTAAGCTTTGGTCTTCGGGTGTCCACCTCGGTTTTGGTGGGGGAGTCATCCGCTTCTTTGGAGGGGGACACCCCCCCTTTGTAACAAGCCGGGGGTCATGAATCCGGCGGCAGCATTAACGCGTGCTTTTTGTGGCTGCTTCCTGCTTCCCTTTTTTTTCCGGGGCCCTGTCTTGGCAAGACATCATTCCAATTTTCAGGGAAGCAGTGTAGGGATTTAAACCCTTGTTCTTGTAAGAGGGTAAATGGGAAGCTGCTCTGAACCACGAAACCACAAATCCAAACCACCAACTAGGGGGAAGCTGAGATTTTGGGGAGTTCTGAACCTGACCCCTTTAAAGCAAATCGCTAAGGGATGGTTTCAAGTGAATCTTTCAAAACAAGGGAAGGAACCCCCACAAAAGCAACCATTTCTCGAGACCCTCTTTCTTGGGCTAGTTTGCATCCATTTGGTTAAGAATATGGTTTCTTGTCCCTGGGATTTAAAGGGAATCTATCACTACTGGAAGTATGTTTATTTTTTCCAGGGGACGTATTCGCAAATGGAGGTTTGTAGGGGGGGCCCGAAAGGACCGACGGCCCGCCTCGGCGCGCGGAGCGGCGCGCGGAGCTGCGCGGCAGTGGGGTGACCTGCGGGGGGGGTGGGGGGGTGGGGGGTGCTGGGGGGGGTTGCCCCCGGGGCTTGGGGGGGCACTCCAAAGTAGTCTAGGGGCTGTTTTCCATTCCTTTCAACCATTGTTGTTTCCAGAAACCAGATGTTTCCCCAGGGTTTTGGGTGGTTTTTTGAATGGGGAAGGGTACCCCTTTATTCCAAGCCACGTCCCTTTTTGAGAACCTCCAACGCGATCGGTTCGAAGGCAACATTTGCCACAGGCCTCCGAGCGCCCGGATGCGCAGTCTTGGAGTCTTGCAGTGTGCGTGGGGAAAACCCTCCCAATGTAGATAGACCAGGTGAAGCTTCGATGGTACCTGCTTTGGGTACCGTTTATGGCTGGCTACGTGGGGCTTAGCTCGTCGACCGCGTCAATTCTGACCATGGGATGCCGGCTTCAAACGGCCAGCCTGGCAGACGAAGCTGAACATTTCGGGTTTTCAAATGTCAAGCTTTCGATGGAGTTTGGCGAGGGTATGGTCATGGCTGCAAGAGGGGTCACGCCCAAGATTCGTCGAAATGCGCGGCCGAAGCTGTTCGAGGGAACAGGAAGTCATGATTTGCAGTCACTCACCTTTGGGGGAACGTGAGCTGAGAGTCTTTTTTGGTGCTCCAGGGATTCGGAGGTCAGGAACAGCGTTTTGATTCCTTTTCCGCGTGTTTCTTTCTTCCCTTCAATTGTCTGTCTTAGTTGGATGGAAGCCATTGTCCCAACGACCCACCAAATTTTTGTGGTTTTGCTGTTTTCCTTGGCACGGGTCCCCAAAAAACGGTCCCCAAACGGTACCCTCCGTTTAGAAGAAAAACGAACACGACCAGTCCCTGGACCCCAATCCGGACTTGGTTTGAAGTTGGTCCGAGCTTGATGAGCAAGCTACTTGGGTTTGTCTCAACTCCATTTACCAGGCAAATCCATCTATTTCTCCAAGAGGTCACCTATGCTAGGGAACCCCCACGTCAAACATGGGGCCTTTCCTATGGCTTCCCTGTTAACCCCCAAAAAGACAAAGGCAAAACCATGTCTGCAAGAAGCCAGCGCTTGAAGCGCTTGTCCGGGGAAGACCACGCCCCAGGCCGAACGAGGAGCGAGTGCGGCCGCTGTCGGCGAGGCGGCCATGCAAGCCAGAGACATGGGGGCTGGGCTTCCGATCAACCCATGTGAGCGCTCATAAGAGCAGCGCCAACACCTTTATGAAAGGAGTTCATTGAGGGCCTCTCCTAACGAAGCCTCGCGAAGGCTAAAAAGCAAGCAAATGGAACCAAGGACGAAAGCCAGCGGTTTTGTTGTGGGTCAATTTTGACCCATACCCATTTGTTGCTCACATGAGGAACAAACAAACAATAGTAGGTTGGGGTCTCATTTGTTTTTCAGGATACCCTCTTTGGGGTTGGGGTTTTTCTGGAAACAAAAGGACATTGAGCCATTTTGGAAGGGAGGCCCTATTTTAATCCAAATAGACTACCTGCGGAAACATTGGGAATTTCAAGGGTGTGGGTGAACAAAGTGGGGAACACCCAGAGACCCCCACTCCCACATTGCACATGAGAATGCTTACACCTCACAACTCGACAAGAAAGCAGATTCAATTCATGCGCTTCCACCTGCTTGAAGTTGTACTCGGTCATTACCGTATCCTGTAGAACCGGCAGGCACCGAGAGAAAAGAGCCTTGCTGTAAACCCTTTTTGTTGTGGTTTTAAAGGAAAGACCAAGAGGAAAGCCACCATTCAGGGGGTCCAACCTGAACAAAGGCATACCCGTGCCGAAAATATGGTACATAAAACCCTCTACTAACAAACTACTTTCGCGGAACCTTTCGCGATGCTTTCGCGGCCACACGTTTCACTTTCGCGGGCATGTGGTTTGTCATGATCACTCTCGCGGAGCTTTCGCGGGCAACACAGAAACTGCGAATATGCACCTTCCCGACGCTCTCGCGGCGGGCTCTTCTTCAACCACGTTCGCTGCAAGCTTTCGCGGGCTTTCGCGCCCAGGGTTCCATTTGGGGTACCTATTTTTGCCCCAGTCCCAAATGAACCAGCAGAACAAATTCCAGGGGTTCGCTCCTACTGCTCTTCCAGGAAACCTCCAGAAAAAAATGGTCAGTCGTCATTCGAAGGCCTTCCATGAGCCTTAAGGTGGAAGGTGGAATCATGGTTGTTGTTGTTGTTGGGAGACATGTTTTGACATTTTTGCTTATTGTGGTTTAGTGGTTGAAATCCAAATCCACTAAACTGCGGCATTTAAATGTTTGCTCCCCTGCCAACGTCAACCAAGGAATTGTTGGGGGGGAGAGGGGAAGACGCACCTTGTCAAGAACCACTTCTCGTCTTTTTTTTGGGGGGTGGGACCAAGCACACATGTTATTTGGGCGATGTAGCTCGCGCGATTGCGAGCTAAAGCCATGAAGAAACCGGAGACTCTCGTGCAGCTCAACATGGAACCCCAAGCACTCATGTGAATTACGATGGAACGTCATGGAACCCAACACACACCCATTTGCAGATTCACGGAAGAAACCCAACAACCCCCCCCCCGTTTGTAGGGGAATCTCCTCTTGGGAAATGGACCCCTTTTATGGGGTTCCATGGTTTTTTGCCAAAGAGTAATCGGACCAATCCGAGCAATCCAGTTGGAATGGATTGATCCTTCCTCTAAAGTAGGACTCTCCCCTGAGTTGCGCGGAGCTCTGCGCTACTCCGAAGTTGAAATTGCAGCAAACTCGAGTCATGATGAGTGTCCCTGACGGCTTCCTGAATTCGTGTTGGGAAGAGGTACTACCAACAGTCAATGCTCTGAAACTTCCGCCATGTCCCGTTCTCCACTCGTTCGGAAGTGAGTCTTAGTAGAACCAACACTTTAATCAAGGGTGTTTTCTGGTATGGTCATATACCGCGCATTTTTCGAGGCATATGCTGCCTTGCAAGCCTAAAGCACGTGGTTTACCTGGGCATAACCACCAAAACCCATCATTACCTTCCTTCAGGACTCACTTTGGAAGCCATCACCAGGGTCACCCACACTAGGTCCCCATGCTAGTTAGGTGCCCTTTTTCGCCCCTTTTTTGGTTGGGAGGATTCCCCTACTACAATAGACTACAGAACAAAGATCGGGTACCCTTATTCTAACCTCTCAAATCTCGAGGACCCAGTCACATAAGAATACCCCCTGGCAATGCCATGAGCAGATGGCGATTCCTTGTTGGTGGTTTTGGTCGAAAAGTAGATGGCGATTCCTGGTTTACCTGGTGGTTTAATAATCTACCAAAAAAAAACATCTATTTCCTCTAACAGTACACCTATGGCCATGAGCCGCTTGAAGGTCGCTTGAGTTGCTTCCGGCCAAACAAACCCTTGGGTTTTGGGTGGTTTTCTAGAATTCGGATACTGTTCAGAATGGACATGGCAGTTACCCCTCGAGTGAGTCGCTTTTTGGTCACTTGCGAGAGAGAAAAAGCCGAGCAAAAAGCCTGGGGATGGCCAGGCTGGCTGGCCATGGGGTGGAACCCCCCGAGCTGGGCCTCGCAGAGGCCGTTTTGGGGTGGGCTTCCGATCTGGCGGTGGTCAAAGCCGTTTTGGGATCCCAGTTTGGGGAAGGCTGTGACATCCACTTGCTTAAGTTTTCCTTAAGATTCCTTTGAAACCAGAGGAATATGGCTGTGGTGGTCAAAACCGTTCTGGGGTCCCATTTTGGGTGAATTCACCGCCCATTTTAGGCTTCCTATTTTAGTGGTTGGATTGAATCGGATGTTCACTGGGGGTACGATTTGGATTTTGACCCATGGCCATTTGGAGGGCTCTCACTAGATGGCTTCAACCAGTAAGGCATGGGTCGTCTTATCATGGAGGCAGGGGGGGAGGGAGGGGAGGGGGAGGGAGCCCAAATAAGCCCTTATTCAGCCCCTACTAAGGCCTTATTTGCGGCTTATTGGGGCCCGGCCCCCAGCCCCCATGATCTTAGGTTCCCCCCGTCAACAGCGAAAACGCATTGCTTGGGTGGCAAATATCAGGACCCCCTGTGGATTTTGAGGGAGGTTCCTTTTGGTGGGGTGATGTTTAGGTGTGTCTTTTTGTTGGGGGTAGTTACGTTTTTTTGGTGCACCGAACACAACTTCTCGGGAGTCCACCCAGCTATGAGTCTTAAGAGTTGCAAGGTGGTTGGTTTTCTGGATCCCCACCGAAATCCCATGTCCACCAAGGGGTCCCCAATTCATGCCCATCTAGGGCACTTTGGGCATCCAACAAACGGGGCTTCCGAGCCATTCCTCCAAAAGTGGCAGGTATTGTGGACGCCATTTTTGTATGGAACATTTTTTGAAGGGGACATCCAGTGACCCCTGGCTCGGGGCCTCCAATAACTGGGTGGATCTTTTTTGAGGGCAGGGAACCAATAGGAAAACCGACGCCATTGTTCCATTGTTGGGGGGTCCCCTAAAACACAGTTTTGGGATCCAAATCCTGAAAATCAAGACACACACACACACACATCGCATCCCCGAAGACCCCATTTTTTGGGGGTCGCCTAAGCCACAATTTCGGGTGTCCAAATCCTGAAAAAGAAGACCCGCACACCTCGAAGTTGATTCCTGGAGACCTCAACTTTGGGACACACTCGAAGTTCGAGAGGTGCCAAGCAGAAGCGGGGACTTCCTTGGTTTTTTCAACCGCAGGGGGTTGTCCTAACGTTTGATAGATGGAAGCATGGTTGTTGTTGGGAAACATTTTACTTTTCTTTTTGCTTGTTGTGGTTTGGTGGTTGAAATCCAAATCCACTGAACTGCTTTTTTTTAATTATTATTTTTGCTCCCCCTTGCCAACGTCAACCAAGGAAGTGGGTCTCTCTTTGTGGCTTGAAACCTCTCGAGCAGCTGAGTTTCTTGGGCTGGGATGGGGGGGGGGCAAGACTTTGGGCAGGTCCTGGCGTCCGCGTGCCGCGACCAAAATGGCCTGCCGGGGGAGTTCAAATGCCCGGAGGCGTTTGTGGGCGTGGGCGCCCCCAAAGTTACTCATTTCGGACTTGATCGTCACTTTTGGGGCTGGCTAGCATCTTAGTGTTAAAGAAGAAGTTCTGACTTTGTTTGGCCAATCGACTCAAGTGAGTATTCAGCCTGTTTTTGAGGGAAGCAGAATGCAAAGGACAACCCCTTCTGTTGGGGCACAACCTTCCCGTCGCAGGTGGGGGTTGGTTCTTCCGAGATAGGCGTCAAAACCAACTTAGGGATCAAGCAAACACTTATTAGGGATCAAGCAAAAACTTATTAGGGATCGACAAACAACTTCATCTCATTCGTATGGGGAAAAGGAAGGAGAGAGGGAGGGAGGGAGGGAGGGAGGGAAGGAAGGAAGGAAGGAAGGAAGGAATCAAGCAAGGAAGAAGGAAAGAAGAAAGGAGGGAAGTCTGACACATTTCCCTTTGTTCACTCATTACTTTTCAAGCATCATGGGGGGGGCGCCGCCCCTGCACAACCCCCTGGCATTCTTTTAAATATGGACGCACCATTAGTTGAATCATCACTTCTTCGAATATCATTGGCGGGGCTCCCCCCCACCCCACAACACCCCACAACCCCCAAGGTTAGCTTCCGTAGCAGGGTTCCACAAGTTAATTCTGCGACATAGTATTTTGCAAAGGTTTCTCGAGGTGGCCATAGACTTTCTCTTTCTCACCCTCTCTCTCTCTCTCTGTTTTTTTTTTTTTTTTGATAAATAGATTCTTTATTGTTTTCCTTCTTCTTTCTTTCTCTCCTTCTTACTTTAATTATGTCCTTCTTTCTTTCTTTCTTTCTTTCTTTCTTTCTTTCTTTCTTTCTTTCTTTCTTTCTTTCTGTATCTCTCTCTCTCTGAGTCTCTCTCGCTCTCTTTCTGTCTGTCTCTCTTTCTCTCCATGTGTCTTTCTCTTTCTCTTTCTCTGTATTACCTTACCTTGAATAAGTGCTGCGCTTGCCACGCAACAAGGTACCTCATTTTGCGAAAGCGCTGCGCCTGGCACGAAATGAAGAAGCTTTTGCTTGATCCCGAATAAGCTTTTGGTTGGTCCTCTGACTTTGCATTGTTAATAGTACATCTATGAGAAGTTCTTTGTCCCTATGAAGTTCCTTTGATCTTCATCAAGCTTTTGTGATGCCTAAGTTTTGTTTGATCCCTTGCCCGGTTCCTCCCAGCCGGTCGCACGGGTTTCCGAGCCCTTTTTGGCCTTTCTGGAACCTGAAGTGGCGGTCGTTTCCGTGGAAATCCCAAGTAAGTTGCAGCCTAAGGGGCGATCCAGTGACCCCGGCCACAAATCTTTGTTTGGTGCATAGGTGGTGCGATCCATCTTGGTGAGGGTTCTCGGCGATACAATGTGCGGGCAAGCGGGTTGGTTGCCCTAGAAAAGCGGCCATTTCCAGCTTCCAGAAACCGTCAGAAAACAGAAAAGCGTATTTTTTTTGCATCTCTCTCTCTCTCTCTCTCGCTCTCTAGCATATGTGTATATGTATATATACACATTTGTATATACATACAAGACATATCACGTTGCATAAGACCTCCGAATGAAGCTATGGGTAGGGGTTATCATTTGTTGTACGCCTATCAACGTTTCCCCGGCTGGCTGAGATGTGGTGGTTTGAGCTAATATGCATGGTTCAGCCTTGGTTCATTTCAGGTCAACTTTCGCCAACTCGGATAGGAGAAATCCGTGCAGGTCAACACAGCAAAGTTTGAGGGCTTCCGTTTTTTGCCCAAGGGGGGGGAGGCGACGGGCCGAGGTCAGGGCAATGAACAAAGGGAGAGAAGGCAAGCACTTTTTGCTCAACCCCCCCATGAAGGGATTTGGGGTGGCATTCACCCATCCATCAAAATGGAACCACACGAACCTCGGACAGTCTTCAACGACGACGGCAAGCCGGTTCTCATCAAGCACCCACGATGGAGGTCGATTCTTATCCAGAGCACGATCGACCACTTGCTCAGTCCCATTGTTGGGACTTCTGCCAACGATGAAGGGCAGTAGCGGCTGCGTACCCAATTCGACACGCTGCTTGACGATGGACTCTCTGACGTCAGCGGCATGGACTGTCGGCCTGGGGGCCCGCGATGGGTTCCAATGTTACCTCAGGGCAGGCTGCGACGGCGCCGCCTTCACGTGGGCAATGTTGAACGTTGATAAAACAGTTTATGCCCAGCTGGGATTTGGCATCGAGCCGTCCACTTTATGTCGAGCTCATCGACTCTGAAGCAAGTTCACATACTGTAGGTCCGGGGGATCACTTCCTTTCATTGCGCAGCTGGGGCATTTGCAGATTCCATGTTCTTAATGTGATTCCTGATGTTGTTTGATTGAATGCTGTTGGCTTGGATCTCTAACTTTGGAGCTTCTTGGGAGCATTTTTTTCGCACAAACCTGCGAAGACTTAACTTCTTATACACATACAAAGGCCATAGATATACACAATTCATCTACACGGAACAAAGAACTGCTGTGTGACATCATCAACATGGAACCTGACTTGGAAGGGGTCCTGGACGACAATTTTTCTCAATTCGGGACTAGTGGGTTCCATGGCAACGTGGAGGGGAGGGCTAAAACAACAACATAGGCGACCATATAATCAGGGAGAGCTGGGGGTTTGAACCCCTGGCTTTTGTCGAGAATGGGAAGCTAACTTCTGATTTCTTCCCCAGAAATCATGGAAGCTGGCGAGATAATTTTTCGGACTTCCGCTTCCAGGATTGGTACTTTTGGTTCTTTACGGTACCCCAAGCCCCGATTCCAATTCTTGGAAAGGGGCTACTTGCTGCTCTCTGGACTCCAAAAACCACCTTTTCTTATGTGACAAACTATTTTGACACAGATACCCTTTTTGGGATGGTTTTAGAGTGAAACAACAGGAACACCACCAGCTTTGAAGGTCCCCTATTTTGAGAACTCACGTGTTTCGAGGGTGACCTTGGCTGTGGGTCGAAACAAAAGGGTTCCCAAACCTCCCTGGTTTAATTTCACTCACATTTGAGCCCACGGCTTAGAGGGACACCGCCACAAAATACTTGGTGGCTCCCAGCCATCCGGTTCCTGAGCCTTCTAGCCTTTAGCTTTTTAGTGGTAGTTTCCGTATTTCACCCACAAGTTGTTCCCTTTTCTCCACATGCTCGTCACTTTTAGCGGGGATGTGAGGGCAACTTGTTCACTTTCAGCGGGGGATCTGAAAACGGGCAGCCCAGAAAGCGCCTCCAACCCGAGCTCCAAACCGAACGAACTCGTCGGCTTCGAGGCGGCGGTCTTGCGCTTGGCGCCCGGCGGCAGGCTGCGGCCCTGTAGGCGCGCTGCGTCGAGGAAATCGCGAGGGAGTCCATTCCTACTGTGGATAGACGAAATCCGTTCGCACCACTTTATAATCATGGGAAACCACTGTTTGCTGGTATTTGCAGGGGAATCATTGTTAGGGTTTCTTAGGTGATGCAGGATTTCGTCCATCCACAGTAGGTCCCCCAGCTAGGTGCCAACTTTTACCGTTTCTTTTTTGGGGGAGGGTTCCCCTACTAAAACAGACTCAAGAAAGCAAATCGGGTACCCTTATTCTAACCTCTCTGCTCGAGGACCAAGATTCTTTATGGGAAAGCCTGAACATATAGTTCTAAGTGGGAGAATTCACAAACGCGACCTCAAAAAGCGGGTAGTTCTAAAAAAATGCCTTTGCGGTTCGCTTGACAGGGGTTGGGTTTCATGTGGGTAGGATGCCGGGCTCTGAAATGTGACCATTGTTGGCCACATGACAATACCACAGGCTTAGGAACATATCGAAGCCAGTGACAAGGGAACCTGTTTGGGTTTGTCTCAAAATGGGGAACCCTATGGGCGGTGTCCTTTTGGTTGCCGTTCTTTACGCCAGCCCAAAAGAGAACCCTCAAAAACAGAGACGCCCATCCATTCCAACTTTGACCTAAACCGGAAACAGCAACCCCCCCCACTTTGACACGTACTATGACCAAACAGCAACCTCTGCAAGGGGCCAATCATGGTCTGGATGGTGCATGGAAGTCTTTCACAGGACCCCTCAGTCAGCTTCCATGTTTGTGGACAGAAAGGTTGGGGGAAAAATATGGTGCCTGCCTTGACCAAACCACAAGGGCTCCATGACAAGCCCTAACCCATGAGCAGGTCAAAAGGGAACCCATCTCGCATGAATCCCGCGGATTCAAATCAAGAAGCCCACCCTCTGCACAAGTTTTTTTTTTTTTGAACGGGGAATTAAAGTGGACCGCTACCCATTTTAAGGGGGAGCCTGGCTTGCTCAATTTTAAGGGTTCCAATGCCTATGAGACAAACTCGTCTGCATCAAGTGGCGTAATCCACTCCGTTCATCCGCTCAGACGTGAACACAGCGTTGCCTTCCGGGAGGGAGGTCTTTTTTTGGGCAGCTTGATCCGAAGAATCGGAGCATTGCTGCTTCAGCCAAAAGAACTGGGTGAATTATAGCAACCTCACACGACCTCACCCCAAATGCTGCACCTTACTTCAGGTTGGTGAAATATTATTGTGATTTCAACAAGAAACGAAGCACAATCTCCAAGCAAGCCCTTTCGCAGAAAGTGCGGTTTCCTTATTCACCTGCGCAGGTGGAGTTGATTCTACATTTTCAGGTTTACTGAATATGAACCGGAATCACAAGCGCTGCTTTTGGTTGGGCATAAGCTCAGGCAGCAAGGAGAATCCAATTGATTCGGCTTGGCTGGTTCATAGCAGGTATCCCCAGTTTAGAGGGCAACCTCCACGCTGGGAGGAACCTTGTTCCTCCTAATCTACCACATAGTGCTCCCTCTTTTGTTTTGTAGGGCAACCAAAGGAACCAAACCGAGCATTTGGCACATGCGAGGGTTCACTTAGACGGGGGAAAGGTTAGCAAAGCAAACATCCAGACAAACCGGCATGTCCTTTTTCGTTGATTTGGTCGAACAAATCGATGGCCCTTGTTGACCTGGTTTCATAATCCAGGGCCGTCTATTTTCACCAATGTGAGGGTTCCATTGAATTGGCGAGTTATTATATATTAATGTTGAAATTCACTAGAAACACATGTTTGTCAACATATTATATCTATTATAAGACTGGTGTTAAATCTTTGTTTTCCTTGTGTCTTCCCTTCGACTCCCCTACCAAAAAGAACAGGTGGTTCATGGCTTGCAGCCTGGTCCACCAACCCACCAACTAGAGGAAAGCTGATTTTTGGGGCAACCCCTACCCAACACCAGGTTCATGGCTTGCCCGCAGTGGCTTTTGTTGGGTTGGGACAGCGCCCAACCAAAAAACATCTCAAATTCCTGGTGGTTGCCCTTCACAACCCAAAGCAAAAACAACGCGAAAAAGACCCTTTGAAGTTGCTGATGGTTGCCCTTCAAAACCTAAAAAGCACGCGGTTCATGGCTCGCCGCCCCCCCCCCAAAACCACCCCCACCCCCCCAGCGTCGACCCTTCCTTCGAGCCGCGCACCGCTCGCTTGGACCGACGCTGCGACGTTGAGCGCTCGAGAGGTCGGTGAGCTGCTGCTGGCGCTGGGCGGCCTGCGAGCTGCTGGATGAGCCCAGGGCCCCAAGCCCCCGGTCCCCCAGCAATTGGTGCCAACTCTTACCGTTTCTTTTTTTGGTGAGGGTTCCCCTACCAAAATAGACTGCAGAAAAAAAATCGGGTACCCTTCTTCAAACCTCTCAAATCTGGAGGATCTAGCAGAGCTCCGATGGCTCCCATGGCTGCCGAGGGGGGAAAATGATGGGAACCCTGCTTGTTTGCGGCGTCTTTTCGTTTCTCGTTTTAAAGACTTTGTAGGCCTTTGACTACGGAACAGAGCTAGACATTGATTGTTGGTGCTGTTTTTGTTTTTTCACTGCCTGGGTGGACGATCCGACCTTGCCCCTTCAAACGCGATTAAGAAAACTTAAAAAACGCCGTCGCACGCTTGGCTGGACGGTGATTGTAGGCCATGGGTCAAAATCCAAATCGTCAGTGACCATTCCAATCCCCACTAAAATAGCTTAAAATGTGGTACCATTGGTTTTGACCCACAGCCATAGTACTCTGGGCAGGGTTCTGGCTTCACCTTCTTGGACCTTGACAAACAAGAGCTCGAATCACATCCAGCAACCCACTTCGGGAGGCGAGGAGGAGCGGGTGGAAAAGCAGCTCCGGGCTCGTGCAGCTGGGTTTTCGTTTCCAGAGGCTCCTGGCAGAGACCGGGACCTGATGCAAGAACGCTTGTGCTTTTGTGGGTTGCATCCGCCTTGCATTTCTGGTGCATTCGCTGACGCAACCGCAAGGTGTGCTGATGGAACAGTATGGGCTGTTTCAGGCATTCGGAAAAGACATCAAGGCTTGGCGCCATCACGTGAAGATGTAGGACTTAGGCGGCGGCAGCACGAAGCCCTACAGCAGCATAGACAGAGAATCGCGTTTCAGCATCAGAAAATTGGCCAAGTACCTGCCAACGGATTTCTTGTAGAATGTGCTGGAAAAAGCGCGTTGAGTAAAAGAAACACAGTCTGGCCTTGCCTTGGGTTACGAAAGGATTCGGTCCCTTTGGTGTCTTGATAGATCAGGATTGGCCATGCCAGAAGTACCAAATTCCTGGCGCCGTGTCTTTTGGGTTGGAACCGGAACCTCAAAGGATCATTTTACGGGGTGCACCTACGACCCAGAAGTCAAAGCACAAGGTTTTAGGTGGCAGAGTTGGGTCAACAAATGAGTGTGGGTTCCACGCCCTTTTTTTTCTCCACTGGGCGGCTGCAAGAAGGGGATGGCTTTTTCAAAGGGGAAACCCAGGCGCGGATATGAAGCCGTTTGGCCGTTTGGGGCATCTTTTGTACCAGGGTTGGATTGACCCATCCCCCGTTTAAGCTTGTACCGAAGCAGCATTCGCTTTGCAAAGATCGGGAGATGTTTGGTCTACATGGGGGTGGCATTCTTTGGGTACCCGTTTTGGAGTTGGTTCAAAATGAAAGCAAAAGGAAACCTGACATGGTGGGTCCCCAAAAAGACACACTTGCCAACTTACCGCAGGGAGCCCCGCTGCCCCCCATCCCAACTGGTGCGGATGGATTCCCGATTTTGACCATCCACCGCGTTCTTAACAGGTTTGTCTTTTTTTTGTTTTCTTTCAGCACCAGCCTTACCCCAAAATAAGAAAATGACCTCATAAGATGGGCGGCTTCGACCCCCCGAAAAGTGCGGCCTTTCAAACCACCACAAGAATGCGTACCGACACCCCATTATGGGTGGTTTGCTTTTTGGTTTCCCTTCGAACAGCGTATCGGGCATCAAGAAGGGGACGACTTTGGGGCGTCAAAGACTGCTGTTCCATCCGAGGTGCCTCGCAGCGGCGAAAGGCGCCGCGGAGATGCGGAAGGTGCTGGAGGAGGAGCCGCGAGCCGCGGGCTGCGTGGAGTCGTCTTTGAGGCGATAGGTGTCCTTTTGGATAGAAATCGCTGAGCTTCACTGGTTGAGATGGGGTTTCATGACCCACAAAACCGGGAAAGCCCATTTTGCCGAAAGGTCACCTAGTTGGTTGGAAGTTTTGAAGGAACACCACCCCCTGAGCACACCTCCAACCCCCCCTGGGCTTCCGAAAGGGAAGCTTCACTCTGGTGGTTTGTATGAGGGTACTGTTCGGGGGTTGGTCTTGGGAAAAGGCATGGGGGTCGACCTAAAAGGACAACCAAACGTGGTTGGTTTGTTACCCTCCGACAATCATGGAAGCGGGTAGGAGGCTTTTGGAAAAATACCTTCCTTTTGGTTGGAAGCTTCGGAATCCACTTTGATGGAAGCAGGGTGCTAGTTTACCCCTATTGCCATGACTGAAGTTGGGTATTCATGGTACCCAAACCGTCAGTAGATGGTTGGCTTGGTTCCTAGTATATTACGATCATGTTTGCAAATGTTAGATTCTCTTATGGTACCTAGTACCAACCCCCCAAACCCCAATGATATGCCCCCCCCCCTTTCGCTCCGCGTTTGGCGTTTCTTTCTGTGGAATCCCCAAATGGGGGTACACCGGGGTGGGCAGCTTGAGAGTTCCTTGGGGTTCCTTTCGGGTTCCGAAAGGTTCCAAAGGGCTCCATAGAATTCCTCGAATTCCGCAGAACGCTTTCGGGTTGGCTGTGGGTCAAAACCAATGGTATCCCATTTTGGGGTAGGCGCACCACCCGTTTTAGTCTATTTTAGTGGTTGGAGTGGGATGTTCACTAGGGGCACGATTTGGCTTTTGACCCATGGCCGGTTCAAAAAGAATTCCTCCGGGTTCCGTGGAATTCCTGAGAAAACCTCCCCCCTCTTGGACCTCCACTTGGCTCGGTTCGCCTGGCTTCATTTCCCTGTAACCCCAGGCGAACCACGAACTTGCAGCGCCAAGAATTTCCCGAAGACAAATCCACAGGGTTCCATTTCTTAGGGTCCTAGTGGGATTTTTTGAGGGGTTCCCCTCCCCCCAAGATGGACCCCACCCATCCCATTCACCCCACCCACCCCAAACCCAACCACCTCAAGGAGCTGGGGGACTCGATCCTCGAGAAGCTCCTGGGCCTCGAAGCGGAGCACCAGGCGCCGTTTTGGACACGGAGCCCCGGGTCCGTCTGTCCGTCCGTCCGTCCGTCTCCCGCCACCGGGGAAGCCTGGAGGGAGGTTCTGCGGTTCTTTTTTTTAGCGTTTTCTCCCCGAGCAGAGCACCTCTCCCGCCTCGCACCTCCACACCACCTCCGCCCGCCCTCCGCCCGCTCAAGCCTCCCACCCGAAACCATCAGAGGCGCCTCGCGCCCGCCTTCGCCTTGGCAGGCGCTGCAGCGTCGGCTTCAGGAGCTGCGGCAGGAGCTGCAGAGGGAGCAGAGCTGCCGCCGGAGCCTGGAGGAGGGGCCTTGGGGGTGGGGGGGAGGCGGGGGGTGGGGGGAAGGGGAAGGGGGGTGGGGCAGGGGGAAGGGTGGTTGAGGGTGGTTGAGGGTGGGGTCGGGCCTTAGGCCTTAGGTTTTTTCGCTCGCTTTCGCGACAGGCAGCGGGATTGGCGGGAATTTTCTGGTTTGAGGTTCGGCGACCTCAAAGGTGCCCCCAAATTTTCCAGGGGTCTGGTTCTTCTGCGTCTGGGGATACCTGGGTTTAGTTCACCAAAACCCTTTGCGGGTTCGAATTTGGTTGTCCGAGTCAACCTGTGGCACTTGGAAGATGATGGAAATCCTGCGTCTTAGGGTTGAACGTTGACCAAGTTATAGTAAATCCTACCTTTACAAGCCTTATTCATGTTGTCAGTGGGTTGGGGCGTTGGGTCTTGGGTCTGGTGTGCGTTGGGGTGGGGGTTGCTATGGTTCCGTTCTCCCTATGGGGAATACTAGATAAAGGGAATTTGGGGACCTGCGCAAATCTAAACGCAACCTCACGCTCCTAAAAGGGCAAGGTTTCTTTCCGAGCTTGGCATCCGTGCCTGATTTTGGGAGCTTGGGGTTCCGTGGGGGAAGGAGGTGCCTTGTCTTCGGAACCACTTGGGTTGGTTTTCCAATAAAAGCGGGACCTCCGAACAGGATCAGGTTTCCTGTTGGTTTTCTTAAGGCAACCAGGAGGCCCCCCCCCCAAACCAAAGAAGAAGCAGAAGAAGAAGACGAAGAAGACAAAGGAGCAAACAAATAAGTTTGGGTGGTTTGCCGTTGGTTTTCCCTCAAAGCCTACACCAAAAAGTCACCCTCGAATGATTTTGGGGGAAACCTCAAAAAGGAAGACGGTTCCTCCGGATGTCTGGTCTTTGAGTTGATAGGGTCCCCATTTCAGTGTCCGAACCTAGTGGTCTGAATTCGATGGGTGGGTCCTTATTTAAGTTCATAGCCATACGGGTGTGGCTTGTTTGGAGGACCCCCAAGATTGTTGTTTTGCTTTAAACCACACCTAAAAAAACACCCATATTTGCTCCTTGGGCTCAAGCATAGCAGTTTCATAGCCCCAAAGAAATGGCTTGCCGGCGCATGCCGCAAGGGCTGGAGAGTGGAAACTGATGGCTTCGTTTTGCACCCGCAAAACGGTCAAGGGGGGTCTCTTAAAGGTTGCCTCGCTGGGTAAACGATATGTGGCACTTGAATAGAAATTGTGATGAATTTCTCTTGGCGGTACTGCGGATGCACATGAATTCTGCACCATTAGGTCATAAAACCACCAGGTGCCGATCAGCCTGGATGTTGTCCCACGTGCAGCCCACATTTTTTTCAGTGTGCCTTGTCATTTCTTTCCTGAAGCCAACCTGAAAGAGGTATGCACACAAAACAGCGGCCGACACCCACTTTGGGTTTCCTGAAAAAAAACCGTCCCGAGTTTGTCCAACTCTCAGCGGAAATGCCCAGGATCAGCTGGTGCAGATGCAGAAGCAGGTGGACGAGGTGCAAACCGGGTTTCGAGTCGATCCCGTTTGCTTTTCGGTCAGTCCACAGATTTTCGGTTTTGAAGGAATGAACCGTGGCAATTTCGTGGTATGTAATATGGGCGTGTTGTTTTTGTGTTTTTTTTGAAGGGCCCTCTTTTTGGGATGGTTTCTCTCTCTATATATATATATATATCAGTTCAACTGAATCTGCAGCCACTTGTTTGTTGACCACGTTTTCGGGGGACATCCAACCCTGGAAGTGATTTGGAATCCTGTCACAATGACAGGTAGCAAAACAAGGAGGTGAACCGGCCATCTGCGAGTGTTGGGTTTCCATCACGGCAATCAACAAACAGAGAGCGAAGCCCTGCAAACTAACATGGACGCTGAAATGCGATCAATTTCAGAGGAACCTTATGGGGGAACTCCCTTTAAGGAGTATCCATATAGATCAGTCCACAAACTGTCTAGCCCCACCTCCCCCGCACAAAAGGATCAATCAACAAACAGAGGGCTGTTCAACAATCATGAACTACCGAGGGCCTGTTCGAGAGGATTCCCGTTGAATCTCCCATCATAAACGCCCGGTAAGAGAATTGGTTCGATTCATGAACCCCCCACAAACGTGTTTGTTGGGTCTCGGGGGGCGGGCTGATTTATCCGAAGTTGACATTCCCCCTGATCCATTCGCCTGCGAGCAAGTTCCGAGCGGAAACCGGCAGGTCCTTCCCATCCGGTTCTCATTTCGGGTCTTAGAATTATTACAGATGCTGATGGACAAAATCCATTCGCACCATCTAGGAAACCATGGTTAAAACTTAAAACCATGGTTAAGGTTGATATTTTCAGGGAAGATCATCTTTCCAGGGGTTCTGAGGTGGTGCGAAATGGTTTTCGTCCATCCACAGTATTGCCGAAGTCCATCCACATCTATTATTTGTTTGGGTCTAGTGTCTTTTTTTGGTTTCATGCCTGGAAAGCCGTATGCCCATGTCTTTGGACGGAGCCCATATTCGGATCTCTTTTTTTTTCTTCTCCCCGTATGGTCGGCCGTATACGCAAAATGTTGACACAATTCCATAAATGACCCAAGCCGGATGGACGGACAAAAACGGCACACATGGGTTTCCAGGTAGGTCGACCAGGCTGTACCGCATGCCTTGGGTCTTTTCAGACTTTCCATACTCTCTAAAATGCAACAGAGTCTTAGATGATCTTACTTTCTGTGTAGGCCATAAATCTCTCTGTCTGTGTGTCTCTCTTTTTGAGACTACCCCTTTTCGGGGGTGTTTTGCAAAGGAATCTTTTTTGGGTTTGGACCATTTCAATGGTTTGGGTACTAGGTGTTTGTTCAACAAAACCTCAGGAAGCGAGGTGTTCTGGGGCCATAAATGGGTACGCCCCTTCCACAGATGTCTCTACCCCCTCCCCGCCTTTCACTGCGGTTGCCCCCTGCATGGCTAACTCCCTTTTTTGCTAGTTAGACTGGGCAAGCTGTGTTGGCCTAAACCCAAAACCCTAAACCCTAAATGGTACCTCTCCCTCCCCCCTCTGTCCCCCCTTGCCCCCCAAACCGCCCGCCCCCCAAACCGCCCGCCAGCCTCCCTCCGTCGCAGAGCACGAAGCTGTGGCAGGCGGAGCTGCGGGCCCTGCGCAGCGCGCAGCTGGCGGAGCGGAGCCAAGCGGCGCAGGAGCGCGCCGAGGAGCCGCTGGCGCCCGCCTTCCGCAAGCCGGCGGCGCCGAAGCCCCGTACTGAGATGGGCCTCATATTCAGGGTCTTGGGCTCCTAGGGTAAGACCAAAGGCTATGAAGAGGTGAGCTGATCCATTTTCACCGGAGCAGCGACTGGCGACGAGCTCTACTGGATTCAGGTCCTCTGCTTGACGTATATTTTGTCTGCCCTACATAAAATCGTTGTGGGGATCTTCTGGGGGTCCCTAATCCTGATCCACAAAATACGTGGTGGGTACCACTGCCAGCTGGTGGGACTAAGGAATAGCCCCGGTCGTCAATGTGGTCCGACTGCACAAAGCGACTCACCTGCTGCTTGCTGGCGTTCCATGAAACCAAGGTGCAAAGGGTGGAAAATGGTGCAAAAATACACAAAAAAAAACATGTGGCTTGGGGTCCCTCCCGAAGGAATGGAAACCAAACCACTAAACTAGAAATCGCTAAACCCTAAGTTGAACTGGATGGCCGAGCCGCCCACATACCATGAGGCCCTGAATGGGCCCAAACCCAAAAGGTGACGAAAATCCGAAACGGCGCTAAGAGAACCCATTTGTCTTGTTTTTCCTCCAAATTAGGCGACCTCCCCCAAAATCTGCTATGGTTTCCTTTGGTTTCCCTTCAAATACCAACTAACAATAGGGGTTTGCCCCTATTTTGAAAAAATGCGATTTTTCCCTGGTTTGGACCGTTTTCCTTCAGGGACCCAAGCTCGAAACCTAGCCTTCCACTTTTGGTTGAGCCAGTTTGGGAGGTTTCCAAGACATGCTTTTGTGGTCCTGTTTTTGATTTTGCTGGTGGCGATTTATCTACTTGGACTGTTTTTGTGGCTGTTTGAGGGAAACAGTGATACCCACTATTGTTTCATCCTGTTGGTTTCCCATAAGGGCCAGACGCTGGTTGTTTACAGAACAAGCGCAACCGCCCTGTCAGGGATCTCAACTTGGAACAACCCACTGACTTGACCAGCTTTTTGCTCGTGAGGACGCGGCCAGGGAGCTTGCGGAGGAGTTGGAACGGCAGGCGGGAATCAAGTTGCACATGGATCCTTGTTTGTTTTTGTTGCGGGGGCTCAGTACGGTTTGTGGGGTGGTATCCCTCTAGAGGCAACTAGGTCCCCCTACTAAAATAATCTACAGAAAATAATAAGCTCAGGTGACCAGGTGATAATCCCCAACAGCATGCGGTGCTCGTTTTAGTGCTCGCACCGCCCCCGCAGAACCTCGTGGAACTCTGGTGGAACCTTGGTGGAACCCTCGTGGAACCGTACCTCAAAACCGCCCCGGACCACCCCTTAAGCTTCGCTGTTCTTGGCATGTTTTTTTTGGTTCTCTTAGTTTTTTGGTTCTGAAGGTCTGCAAAAAACAGACAGTTTTTTGCTACCATACCAAGAGTAGAGATGAACTTATTGTAACCTCTCAAATCTGGAGGACCTAGGCAATCAGCCCCGGAAACTGGAGCTGCCTGAACCGAGCGTTCAGCGGCTGCCAGCCATCCGGTTCCTGAGCTTTTCTAAGCCTTTTAGATCCTTTTAGCGCTAGTTGCACCATAGAGTGGTTTCCATCTAAGCCCCTAAAGTTAGCCACTTTGAGCGGGGGATCTGAGGGCAGAAACCACAGTGATCAAGCATGGGGATGACCCACGTTGGGTTCAGAGACAGAGGGCTTCCATTTTCGGCCAGCCTTTTCCGGAAGCAGCCCTGCGCTGGTGATGAGTGGTTCCAGACTTTAAGAGGGTGACGCTACTCCCAAACCACTGTGGGTGGACAACATCCGCTTTGCACCAGTTGGTGGTGTTGATACAATGGGCTACGCGTTTTGTCCGTGCGCAACAGCCCTTGTTCGCAGTCAAACAAGCGACAGACTTTCGTATTTTTCAGACTCGTTTTTTTCCTTTGAGTAGGGCCTCATCAGAAAATATGTTTGAGTCTTGCGTTGGCTAAACAAACATGAAAGATAATCATGTTTCATAATTACTCTTTTGGAAACCACCTTGCTGGCTGGTGTTTGGATTGGATCACGTTGGGGTTAACCCCAATTCCTCTAGAGGAAACCGAAGAGCGTGAAAACATCAAGCTTCCACATTGCCCTTTGATGTTGCGAGATTTGAGAAGGCCAAACATGACCTAGCGACCAATGTTGTTGGCCTTCTTGTAGAATTGTCCTTGCCTCTCTTGCCTTCCATTTGCGTTTTGGAATATGTTTATGCTAGTGGAATGCGGTATTTTTTCCAGGGAACATATTAGCGAATAAAGGTTGTGGTTTTCCATTCACTCATCCACGACGGCATGAGGGACACTCAAAGTACGTGCACACAAAAGGGGGAGGGGTTGGTCACCCACCAACCGGTCATTGGGGGGACAAGGAGTAGTTTCCTAAAATACTAATATATACATATTTACGTCTTTTTTGTTGGGGGGAGGGTTTTGGGGGGGTCCACAAATGGGGGCGGTTTTCCAAGAGAATGGCGGATTGGGTTTCAGGGACTTCCACTTTCTATACCAAGAAAGGTGGGAGATCTTCCCTTTCAGAAAGGACTTGGGCAAGCCATTTGCCACTATTGGGCCGTTTCTTGCCACAGAGGGGTCCCACAAAAATTGGTTTTCACTTTGGCCTGGAAAAGGAATTTGAGAAACAAAAGGGGGTACCCTCCCTCCCACTAACAGAAGGCACCTGTGGGAAGGTACCTGGAAGATAGATGTCCTTTTAAAGCGGCCGGTCAGTTCCCATGTTAGTAGGAAACACCTTTTTGTTCTTTTTTTTGTTGCGGGGGGTGGGGGGGAAAGGGGGCTAAAGTTTGCCAGTCCACAACAGCCAGAGGTTCTCAGTTCTCACCTGACCCCATATGGCTAGGATTTTCAGCAGTTGGAGCCACCAACAAAAGTCGTTGGTGGTTACCTGAGTCCAACCACCGAATTCTGATGTCCACCAGTTCGACTCCCCAATTAAAATGCATACCCATCTAAGAGCCGTAGCACAAAAAACTCGTCAACCTTCATTCGAGGCTAACTGTTTAGAATAGGTACACTTTGCTGCCTTGGTTTAACGGACAACCAAAAGGAAAAACACCTGGCTCAAGTTGGAATCGCAGACTTCGGCGGATTTGCATGCCAACCTCCGAAAGTTGGGAAGGGTTTTCCCTAAGGAAACCAAGGTGCCTCAAGATACTCCAAACACACCGAGCCATCAGTTTGTGTCCCATCAGTTTGTGTCTATCTGGGTGTGTCTGTTGTTTTTGGATTTGGACCGGGCTTGCCTCTTGGTTTCCCTTTAAAGCAACCATCAAAAGGGATAGCCTCAAAAAAGGCACCCCTTCTTCGACCCGGCAAGTCAAGGGTCAAGGGATGCTTTGTTGCAATTTGCTTGGATGTTAGGACTTTAACTTTTTGCCAACTAGTGGGTTGTTCATCAAACCAGTAAAAGTTAAACTTTTCGCAAGGGAGCAGAAAGCAACCGAGGATGGGTGTTAACTCCGCCTTGGGCTCTTGGCAGGCGAAAAACAGCCCTGAGGAGCTGCGAAGGAGTGAGCCAGAGCGAGCCTTCGGTCTCGGAGTCTCGGAACTCCAGGTACTGAATCGGGTTCTCGGACTTTCTACGTGCTGGCCGGTCCATGACTATAGGCCATATAAGGCACGTATAGTCACTTTGTGGTGCGGTCTTGACCAGTGGGAAAGAGCAAGTTTCGGCTTTTTTCTGGGCAGCATGTGTCCGTTTGCCATGATTATATATATATATATGGGAGTCGTTCTAAATTGCCAGTCTTAACATTAAGTAAAGGGAGGTTCTGAATGTCTAGCGCGAAAGGAAAACACTGCATCGCGAAAGGCCGGCGAAAGGAACGCGAAAGGACTTGAAACACAACGAATACATGGTAGAACCCTCCTTTGGGCTCCGAAACAAGTTTTTCAGGACTGGTTTGTCACCGCGAAAGGAAAACATGGGGCCGCGAAAGGACCGCGAAAGGCCGGCGAAAGGGCCGTTTCCAGGAACTTTTATTTTGCACAACCCCCATATACACATATGTAAGTAAGCGTCTAATAGTATATAGATGTATGTATATATATATATATATATACATACATGTGTGTAAATATATATATATATATACACGTATGGGTAGTATATATGTATGCAGACATATATTGATACATACATATGTATATATATATATATATGGTGTATATATATATATAGATGTATGATCCAGGTCTGCAGGCCCCCCTCCTGTGGTTGCAAGGTGGGGGGGTGATACTACTGGTTGGTAGTACTTGTTTTAAGCCAACATGTTTAGCTTGGCTGGTTTCGGGTTGGGTTAGGCTTGGTTCAGGATTGGTTGGGCTAGGGTTGATGTTGGGTCTGCTTTAATGGCAGCCACCCTTGAAATGTGGAGCCGGGGGCGGTCTTTGTTTGCTACTAAAGGAAGTGACACGAAAAGTAGAAAGAGTTGAAAGAGGCGTGCGAAGAGAGTGAGAAAGCAAGCAAGACGTAGATAGAGAAGGGAAGAATCGTGCGGCAGGCGCAGCATATTCCGGCTGGCGAGATCGTGAAGGCTACCTCTGTTTAGCGTTCGGGCTCGCCACGGTGAATGGGCCCCATGGCACGGCTGCACACGGTGCCATTGAACCCCAAACAGCATCAGGTGGTAAAGGCCTCAAGACATCACAGCTAGAATTCATGCAGTTACTTTGGGGCCGCCGGAGTCCCTGCCGTCCAAAGCCTTCGCGGTAAGCTGGGTGCAAGCTGATCCCTTTGCTGCTGCTACGGCATAGACTTGCAGGAGCCCGCAACATGCAAGATATGTAAGTCATACTATTCTACCGCGACCCAGCCCACGCACTATGTGAATTTTAGGCTGTCTAGGGCTATCTAGCCCACCTACTATTTACCCACTATGCAAATAGCTAGGGATGCGGCAGAAATGTCTGCCGTCGTTCAATAGAGGCGCCTTCTTTTTCCCGGCGCATCTTCCTGATCAGAGGCGGTTTTCTTGAATTGCGGCAGGACTTGTTTTTCTCGCCTCCGCTTGCCTTGGCAACTTACACGACTTCGCACTTGTGACATTTGGCCCAGGTTTTGCAAGCCTTTGTCTTGGCGTTGCTTTGGAGCATGGTTTATGTTTGCCTATTGGCCTATTTGGGTCATCGGGAGCCGCAGTTGACGAGATGGCGTGGGCACCCAGGTTGCTGAGACGGCAGGGTGACAGAAGCAGTGATTGCCGAATTTTGTCATTTTTACTTCAAGAACGGAGCCTTCAGCTGAAGCAATCCTACCCTTTCATGCATCTCCAAAACAAGTTTGACCAACCAAGGGTAACGACCTGACAGTGAAGGGTGAAGAAAAGTAGTTTTTGTCTATTGAGTGATATCCGGCTCGATTCCACCGACCCAACAATAAGGGGGGTGGACGGCGACACGGTTCCATTGTTTCTCGCGTCACACATGCAATCATGTGAAGGAAGATATGCAGCTTTAAAAGGGACACAAACGAAGCCGAATGGACTTCAGAACAAAAGATGCTAGGGAACGCAGACAGAAGTTTAAAGAAAGACACCTAGACACAACAGCGAGAACGGACACACAGACAGAGGCAAACAAGCAGACAAAGAGACATTTAGAGATACAGACTCGCAGACAAACAAATACGAACAGAGACAGACACAGAGACATACACAAAGACGGAGACGGACGGAGATAGGCTTCGGAAGAGAAAGGGGAAACCAAGTAGAGAGATGGATGGCAGAGGGGCCGAGAGACAAACAAGCGTCAACGACAGAGAGAAACGCACAGACAAAGACGGAGACAAAGACGAACAGAGAAACAAAGAAAGACAGACGCAGACAAACTAAGGAAAACAGATCTGTATAAGTTATGTGGCAGAGAGAGGCAGAGGCAAACAAAGATAGATAAACAAACAGGCAGATAGACAATCAGATAGGCAGGCAGGCAGGCAGACAGACACACATAGACAACAAGCGCAGACGGAGGGAAAGATCAGGGGACAGAGAGAGATCCAGCGACAGAGACAGAAACCAGGCAAAGAGACAGAAACAGACAAGGACTGGCAGAGAAAGATCGACAGACTGGCAGACAAACAGACCGATAGACAAAGGCAGACACAGCCAGGCAGAGGCAGGCAGACACAGACACAAACACAGACAGAGACCGAGGCAGACACACAAACAGAGACTGGCAAAAGCAAACACAGACACAGACACACCCAAGCAGAAAAAGATGACGGACATCACGCACGACATCATGGAACGACCGCAGCAACAACCTCCAACGATGCTTACAGAAGGAAGCAACTCAACTGCACTTCGACATAGCAGCAGCACAACAGCAAAGCCAGAGGAAAGTTGATGACAACATCACTCACTACATTGTACTCTAACTTCAAGTCATACCACCACCTGCTGATTGACTCAGGAGCATCTACACATGTTTTCCCAAAGGGCTATGCTCCGGATCTACCCCTACGATTTTGTGGAGAGTGAGGTCCGCAACTATACACTCTGACCAACAAGAAGATCCCTGTCTACAGAATGAAGTATGTTGCCTACAAGCAGGACAACTTCAGGATCATGATGCCCGACTACGTTTGCAACGTGAAGTGTCCTATCCTCAGCGCATCAAGACTACTTGACAGAGGATATGGACTTGACTTCAATCCACGACACTGCACCATAACCCACGGACAACAACAAGCGCACCTCATCAGACACTCAGGACTCTTCCATCTACGAGAAGAAAAGATTGACATCCCTACAGGACACGACATCTACCCAATGACTACAGACAATGGAACGGCCATTGCTGTGATCCAACCTACAGAGAAAGCAAAACTACAACAAGAACAAATTGCACCACGAACGCGCACACAGACCAAGGACTACGACAAAATCCTTGGTGGAAATACCGATTACTGGAAACTCGATGGTGGCTACGCCATCAGAGTCCACAAACAACCACGCAAAGCACTCTTCACACCACACAGCAACGGCTGCCCAATACCAGAAGCAGAGCTAGATGATTGGCAGACAAGCGCAGCAAGAACAACTACAAAAGAGCGCTCAAAAGAGAAGACTTGAAGGTGATGATTGGATTGGAGAGACCAGATCTCGCAGAAAAGTCACACCTGCGCACCGAGTGACAACAAAGACTACACCAACAAGACAAAGCTCGCAACCACAACCTGCAATGGAGACATAAACAACACGGTCAAAGCTACAAATGCGAACTCCACAAAAAGAGGCGGAGACCCAAGGCAGCACCTTCCACAGACCTAGACACTACACAACCGAAAGCAGCCACACATCGACCACCGGACATCATACATCACTCAGAACTACACTGTTCACACCTACAGATGGGCCAGAACATCCACAGCTCAACACACTCGAACCTTAAAGAACTACAATCACCAACAACAGCTTCGGCGAAGTTTCACAACGCAAAGATGACTGGACAGTCATTGGAAATGCAGCACTACCATTCCAATGGGCAGGCGCAACAAGAGGAACAACATCAGGAACACCAAGAACACAAAGCAATAGGCCTACGACAACCAGGACAACTACAAGAAACAACAATCACGGCAACCCATCATCCAATTCGATTTTGCCTACATCAAATCACAACAGGATCCGAAAACCATACCAGTCTTAACAGCAGATGATGTTACTACACAATTGTGTATGGCGGTAGTGGTTCCGGACAAACCATCAATGATGGACTACATGACCAACAGCCTCCCAGCATGCACCTTTGAGTGCGGAAGAACACAAGGCATACTACAAAGCGACAATGAAGACACGATCAACGCACTGCTGAAAGCAACAGCATCCAAAGTCGGCTCAGTGACAGTACGACACTCACCGTCCTACAGCAGCAACAGTCAAGGAAGCGACCACATAGAACACTTTTCGGACAGACACGCGTTGTCAAAGCACAAGTTGAAAGCAACTACAGCATGACAATGTCCACAAAGCATTGCCTGCTACCTTGCATAGTACGTCATGCAGCATGGACCGTAAATCGCGACGTCATCCATCCACTCTGACGGCTACACAAGCTCGAAGGCTGTTGGGAAGAAACTGCGGGCGAAAAATTTGCGACTTTGGAGAAACACCAGTTCCACCGCAACACAAGACGCTTCCTAAAGCAGATCTTCGAATGCAGAAATGCATACTGCTCGGAAAGGTTTCCAAAACAGGAGAAAACTACGTCGCAACTGAACAAGGCGTACTAAAAGCAAGAACAGTACGATGACTACAGCCAGACTTCAAATATGACCTCGCGCTACTAAACAAGGTCTCAGGTACACCTTGGGCACGAGGCAACACCTACAACCTGCCATTTGCAACACTTCTGGACACGCAGCTTCAATCGTCAGAACAAAAAGAGACGACCTACACAAGACGCCGGACAACAGACAAATACAACGGACGACATCGTCACGGAACCCGCGAGGAAACAACAACGCAGCGCGTCACCTCCAAGACTTCCGTCAACCCCGACGTCAACTTCACGACAACTGCCGGATAGCCCCATGGCTACTGCGCCTACCGGACGACAACATCCACCACTACCAGCACTACCGCTTCGACAAGCGCTACGACGTATGACTCCGGAAGAAGTCATGCAACCAGCCAAAGCACAGAAAACCTCACAAGACACCACCATCAGATCAACGGAAGAAAGCGCCGAAGAACCATGACCACTACGACAAAGGATCAACGCAGTAGCACTATCCAACGGAACATCAGTAACCTCCTACACAAATGACGACACTTCAGAGGACCAACCAATAGTCTTTGACAACGAAGGCTACGACGGAAACACAACTACGTGAAGGAATGAAACATGAATCTAACCAAATGAAACTACATGACAAAGCAGATGCGTCTACACTTACCGACGACGTCACTAGGGAAGCAGTCCCTACAAGATGGGTTCACCGAAAGAAGGGGCCAGGCCTACGAATTAGAATCGTCGCAAAAGGCTACACCGAGAAGATCGAAGATGAAGACTCCGTCTACGCCTCTACACCAATTTTCACGACAATACGGACACTTCTCGCACTACTCTTGTGACCGAAATGGCCAGCCTGGGATATATATATATATATATAGATATGTATATATATATAAATTTGTACATACATATATACACACATGCATACTGGAATGTTTTTTTTTTCTATTGGGTGAATGTTAATAAGACTTCCCCCTCTTCCCTACTGAGCACCAGCAAGAGTAAAAAATGTCCGGGCCCCAAATTAAAACTCATTACGCAAATCGATATTCTTTCTGGCAGGCACCCCTTCTTGGTGGGTTTTTTGGGAAGCCAAAAAGGAGACCCAGCAGTGCTCCAGCAGCGTTCCTGCGCTCAGTGAACCACTCCCTTGTGAAGCACTGGTCCAATGGACGCACTCCTGCCGTTTGACATGGGAACCCACCTTTTTAGAGGAACCTCCTTGTTGGGGAACCTTTTTGCAGGGGAGTAATGAGCATTTACATGGCAGATCTTATTGCCATGACCATGGACTCATGGGCCTGTTTTTTGAGCCTGTGATTGACTGGTTTGAACACCGGGGTGTCGCAGGAGAACAGCAGAAGCAGAAGCGGAAGTGGTGCGAGTCAGAGCGGAGTGTGAGGCGGAAACGGTTTGGCTTTCATTCCCCCCCCAGTCCCTGGCCCAAACGAATCGGCCTTTGCCGTTCTTTCCGGACCCGTTTGGTCCATTTTGGTTGTATTAATTGTATACTCCAATTCAAGTGTCAGGGGTTTGGGGTTTAGAGGCCCATCCTTAAGGCCCAAACAAATCCAGCGTGTTTGTTCTTGGTTGTTTGGGGTCCGCTGTCGGCGTTATGTGGCGAAACATGTTTTGCAGGCCAAACGCCCATGGTCTCTTAAGCCATGACCCCAAGTTGTTCTGGGTCGAACTTCCCAAGTTCCTTCTTGGATTTAGACCCAACAAGTTGGGCTGCCAATCTCGATCGGACGTGAGTGGTTATGCGTCCTCCCTTTTTGTTGTTGGTTTCTTTCTATATATTTTTTCGGAGCCGAAGCGGAAGGAGCCTGAAAGTTGGGCATGGATAACTTGGATGGCTCCGGAGCCTGTGCCAACGCGGGAGATCTACATGGTTTTCCGCAAGCAGCGGAAAATGTGTTTTCCTTCCTCGGTTGCCGGGCTTCCGAGCCAGTCTTATTTGGGGAACCTCCCAAAGTGGCGATCGTTTCAATGGAGCCCCCAAGTAAAAGTACTTCACTTTTGGAGTGGAAATCCAGTGATCCCCGTTTGGCTGTGAGGGGGGGGGTGGCATGCTTCGCGTGAGAGCTACAATGGCTTAAGTGGGGAGTTGAGCTTCCTTGGAACGTCCTCTCATTTGTTCCCGGCTTTTCAGTTTTCTTCCCGGATCTTTCGCGGCTCAGATCCGTCCGCCCTCACCTCGAAGATCCGTCCGCCCCTCACCTCGAAGAGTTTTAGCTTTCGGTCTCCGAGTCCATTTTCCACCATGCCCGGGGATGATGCTTACTGTGGGGGGTGAATCACTTCCTTTCCCAGGTGTCTCTTCTTGCCTCCTTCCACCCGGGGGCACGTGGAACCTCACGCGTGGCACTTTTGTGCCGCTGGCGCCTCCTCGCAACCAGAAAACCGTGGAGAAGCACCAGAGCGAGATGCTCCACGAGCGCGAGCTGAAGACCACCTACTATTTGAAGGTCAAGGAGCTCGAGGCGCCCGGGCACCGGGGACAGAACGACTTCCATTTGCCTAAGAATATCTACCCGTGGAAGTGCACAAAGCACCTTTCCAAGAGGAAAGTTGTCTTTCTACAGGGCTCTGTGCACTTCCATGTTCGCCGGTGGGAGGGTAAATCTGTTCTTTGTCCTGTTGGTTCTGAAGGGAATCATCACAAATCGCTGGACAGATGTTCTCGTTTTTTCCAGGGGACGGGGGCCCCGTCCGGTAGGGGTTCGGAAGTGGGTGCTTGTCTGACGCAAGGCGCAACCAGCAGGGTCCCTGCAAGGGGTCTTGTTGGGGGAACTGGCGGAGGCGAGTTGGGGCCCATGTTTGGAACACCAGGTCCCCCAGCTAGGTGCCGTTTCTTTTTTGGGGGAGATTCGGTTCCCCTCAAATAGACCACAGAAAAAAGTTGGTACCCTGAATTCTGACCTCTCCACTGGAGGACCTAGAATAGGTGCCGGTGTTGGGAACCCAGGTAAATGGACGCATGGACGCAGGCTTGGTAGCAAAAAAAAACAAATGGCGTGGCTCGCTTTTGTGAGGCTCGCTACGCTTAGTAGGTTTGAATCCAAAAGCACCACTCAAATCCACGTCCGGGTAAACAATTCGGGTGTGTATACCTAAACCAGTCGAGACGCCCAAAGCACCCAAGGGGTAAGTTTGGGAGTGACCGCACGGACAAGCCAGCAGACCAGGGAGAACCCCGCATTCTGAGACCTTGAGGATTTGGACACCATGGTGGGTTTCTTTTGAGGATTCCTTTAGCCTTCCCAAAGCAGGTACCCACAAAAGCTACACGTATAATGTTGCTTATTTAAGGATTGACTAAATGCCACAACATCGAGTGGACTTGCGGAACCGCACCCTTGCCCCTTTTTCGCTTTGATCCTCGCTTGAAATGGTTAAAAAACAAAAACGCCCCCTTGTTCTACCAGCAGTACCGAGCCTCAAACAAACGCGAAACGAGCTGAGAGACGCTTCTCGAAAAGGGGTTTCGCCTTGCGCTGAGGTCTCCGCCAATACTATTTGTGATAATTGTTGGGGTGGGGTATGTTTTTCAAGATCGAAATTTTGCCCCCCCCTGCCCCAAAAAAACACCACACCTCCCCCCCCGAAAAACAAATAGATAAGAAAAGCAGTTCTCGCTTCTGTTCCTCTTAACCTCCCTTCGCACTAGAGTAAGGCTACCCTGCGCAGAACTTGCGCCGTGCTGCCTCGGGCCTCGCAGCTCCGCCGCTCCCAGGCCATGGAGAATCTCATCGCCAAGAAGCACGCCAAGCAGCGGCGCCTGAAGAAGCTGAAGACCTGACGCCGCCCCGCGAAACGCGCGCGCGCGCGAAGCGCGCCAGGCGCGGAGGCGTGCGTGGCGCAGAACTTGGCTTCAGGAGAGAAAGGGCTGGAAACCGTTTTTTTTTTTCTCCAAGAGATCCAGGTGTCCTAGAGGAAAAATGGCTGGGAATTGCAAAACAAAGAATAATATGTATGTATACATATATATGTATATATATATCGATGTGTTCAGTCTTTTTTTCCGCACTCATGGGCTTCGCAGGAACCCTGTTTTTTTTTCAAACAGATGCCGGAGTGCAATGTAGGTCTCCGGCCGTCGTCCTGGTTCAATCGGGGCAGTTCCTTTGGCTCATATCCAACGGAGTCACCGGGTTTGGTCCTAAACCGGTGACATCCCTGCAGGACGACACAGCCAGCTTTTGCGTCACGACTCAGCCAGCTTGCCGCTCGCCCCGTTCGCGCAAAATGCGCATGGGCGGAACCTGAACTCTGCTCCCAACTTGATGACTGGGTGGGATCTTTAGACTTTGAACACACAAAAAGTAGCACTTTTTGCGGAGGGGTCAACAGCAACCAAGCCAACAACGACGAGGAAAGTTGAGTGAACAGCCCAGATCTCCAAGTTGCTGCTTTTTTCCCACACTCTTCTTCAAAAACAGTCGCAGTTGCTAGGAAAACACCGGCAATCCATGAGACCCCCGCGCTTCAGCCAGGTTCGGTGTTTCGCTTCCGCAGTCGATGCTGTTTTTTTCTTGAGGTTCGCTGCGAGGGGCGAGCGCTGGAAGACCGGTGGAATGTTTCGGAGCGAAGCTTACATGGCAACCAAGGCCAGGAACAGCGTCCCTTTGCCCCAGTCTGAGCATACTCATGGTTGTTGTTGGGAAACATTTTACTTATGTTTGCTTGTTGTGGTTGAGTGGTTGCAATCCAAGTCCACTTAGCTGCTAACATGTAAATGTTTGCTCCCCTTCCAACGTCAACCAAGCACTTGGATGCTTGAGCTACTTGGCAAGTACAACCATACTTCGACGGAAGCGAACCCCAGTTGTCCCAACTGTCATCATACCCTATGCTTCCAAAGCCTATTCCAAAAATATGCGTTGCGACGACTGGCGTCATCTTCCGTTTTGAACTGGAACAAAGGCTACGAAAGACTTTGACGCTAAGGCCGCTCCACAGGATCCCAAAGTCCAGTATGTATATACATGTGCAGCAATGTGCTTCAGAATTTGCACGGTTTCTATGTTGCTTGGTTTCTTAACATGCCATGTAACGCGTGAAGGTGAACCCTCTTCTGTCCAATTCTGTCCTTCTCCCGGCCCACCCCCTTAGCCTAAACAGAAGAAACAAACGGGACAGCGTAAATCTCTACCCATCACAGAAACCATTCCATGATGAGGATGTTGACCTTCTGGGTCCCCTGCTCAAACTGCCCGTTCTAGGCCAAAAAATGGTGGTTCTACGCCGAAAAATAGTGGTTCCACGCCAAACAACTGTTTTTATACGTTTTTTCTACTGTTTGTCTACGGTCACTTCCTCTTCGGAACTCTTTGAAAATTGAAACGGTAAACACAAGCCCAAAACTGCTTGTTGTTCGTGCCACCTGCGCAAATTGCAGAGGCAAATTTTATAATTTGCTAGAATGAAGGCAAGACTTTCAGCAGGTGCATTGTCCCTATCAAAGAATAATGCGTTACTTCCTAGCAGGAGAATATGTGACTCCCAGACTGCTTGAGAGATCGCAAAAGCATGCGTAGTTTTTGAGAAACACAATAGCAACCCAAAATGGACCCCAAAGGCCAATGTCCAAACATAGGGGTTGTCATGCTGAAAATAGGGGTTGAACAATCCTTATTTCAGAAAATAGTCGAGGAAACTCAGGGATAGGTATAACCTACTTACTGGGTGCAAAGGGCTTACTTTGTAGAGGAAGTCTGGTAACAAAGTGAATCGAATCCACTTTGCGCATGAACGACTAATTATGCAAGAGCGCGTGGTTCTCTCGTGCTAATTTTGTGCTCTGACATGTTGGCATGTGTTGTTTTCTATTTGGTTTCGGGGTTTGTTTCAGTTTGGCGGGTTCAGGGTTCTCCCTTTACTACCCCCAAGAAGAGTTAAACCCAGGAGTGGTTGATTTCCTAAAAGCAAAACCCCCGGGTTTAAGTCTACTTTGGGGTAGGCAAAAAGTGGATCCCTGAGCGGGTTAGGATCTCTGAAAATCATCAGCTTCCCTTGAAACCACAAGTTTCAATTCTCAAGCCATCCAATCCACCAAAAGGTTACTTGAAACGCGACGTTGGGTAGCTTCCAGATTCCATTTCCGAAGGTGAGGGTTATTTAAACCGGGGAAGTTACAGCTTGAACAATAGAGGTTCGATCAACACTTGGTGCGTTTGGTTGAGGCTTTCCTCTGGAAACGTTTGAAACCCTACTGCAGCCATCATATCTGCTGGCCTTTTGTGAAACGACCGGTCCCTTTACTTTTTGTGTTTTTTTTGGTTTTTGTTTTTTCTCCCCTTTTTTTTCGCCCGGGGATGGTGTTCCACCTTTCTACCGGATCCTGAAGCTCACACTTATGATGACCATGACCATAGGTCATGCAAGGGAATCATTATTATACGGTTATCGAGGGATCATTATTGTTCTCACTTCCTGAGTTCAGGGACTTCATACTTTTTGACAAAATGTTTTTGGCGGTGAAACAAAGCTATTTGGACTTGTTTTGTCCCATCAACTCAGGAAGTGAGTATTGCGGGGTTCCCCAACGAGTATCATTACCCAATCGGCCATAAAAGTTCGGATGGCAATCATTTGCACTTTGGAGCCCTCCGAAGGAAAAATATCCGCCCATTTGGGTGCGTGTTTGCGTGTTTGTTTGCGCCCTTTTCAGCTTGGTTGTTGTGGGGACACCCGCAAACCCAGCGTTTTTGAAGGGGTACCCCGAGTTTTTTTGGTTTTGAAGAGAAACCACATTGTTTTGTTTAGGCATGTGCAGATGTAGTCCTTGGCAAAAGAAGATCATCCAGATGTGATTGGAAAAGTCAAAAAAGTAAGGAACACACAATTTCGTGGGTTCCCCTACTAGGTCCCCCAGTAGTGCCCGTTTACCCTTTTTTGGGGAAGGGTTCCCCTACTAAAATAGACTACATAAAAAGGGTACCCTGATTCTAGCCTCTCTACTGGGGGACCTAAATAACGACAGACCCATATTGCCAGTAGCATTCGCACCTGAGACGTGCGCCTCACATCTGCCGTTTTGAAAACCGGCTCCCATCGCTCAAGGCGGCGAGCTTTAAAAGACGAGCGCCAACAAAAACCTGCCCGAAGCTTGCGGATCCAGTGGGGGGTTGATCAGTATTCCTGGCCCCAGTTTTGACCATGCTAGAGGTTGATTCCCCATTTTAAACCATCGTTCTTTTCAACAACCAGCTATTTTCTCTCGGTTTCTGGAGGTTTTCCAGACAGAAGGGAGCCATGGGTAACTTTTCCCGTTGAGTGGGAATTCGGAATACCATGTCTTTGGTGGTCTCCCCCCATGGTCCCGTGTAAAGGACCTGTGTTGATCAAGCCCCATTTGCCTGTGTAATGTTGACCCCAGATCGAAGTAGAACGCATCCTACAAATCAACCAGGCTTCAGGGTTTGCTAATCCGGGGTTTTCATTACTTGGCGGTTCCCAGCCGTCCCCTCGTTCTTTTTCTCCAACGTTTTTAGGGATAGTGGGGCGTTCCATTTAGCCAAAAGCTTGCACTTTTAGCAGGGGATGAGTTTGGACAGCCCAGATTCGTAGGAAACAAAGAACCACCCTTTGTGGGCACCTAGGATCCACGTGGGGGGAAAAGCGGGGAAAAGGAGCAGTCGGGCGCCGGACATTTCCGAACTGGTCGTTGGGCAGCGGGCTAGTCTTTTGGCTGGAGATCCGCTGGTTTTTCGTGGGCCAAGAAGATGTCTTGCTAACCAAGGGCAGTCTATTAGCAACCCACAGGGTCGAAGTCTTTAATTTGCCACGGCAACTCGTCGCACAGCTAAACCCTCAAGAAGGCGATTCCTTTCGTGCCTGGTCTTCTGGTTGCAAGGCAACCCTTAGGCACTATGACTGAAAGGCCGGTCCTTGCAGCTTTGCCTCTTCTTGGCAGGACATGATGCTACATGACTGGGGTCATTATGTTGACTGCTTTTTTGTTGGTTATCAAAGTCAGACACTGGGGGTGGCTTCCCTTTAACACATCACTTAGGGGGTGACTTTGATGGTGGTAAAATAGTGGGGCCAGCATGATTCAATGTTGTCCAACATTCCCCCTATATAAAATTAGTCGATATATTCAGCCGATGGTGCACAAAATGGCAGTGATCTATTGAGATCAGCGCAAAGGCTGGGCTTTTCCGATCCACAAGCAAACCAAAGGGTCATGAAGACTCTAGGAAAGCCCTGAGGGCGC